TCCAGCAGGAAGGACAGAAGCTCCTGACTGTCGTGTTGCTGGTAGCCCAGAAACTGAGACGCAAAGTGACCCACCTTCGTCTGAATCAAACACAAAGTCACCATCGTCATCAACAGTGAGAAGGCTGAAGAAGAAGAAGAGACACAGGTCAACAAGCACAAGACCGATAGTCGACAAGAACTGAAGAGAGAGCTCTTCTATTAACTTAATTTCTACTTTCACATTTCATGTTTGATGTTTGAGCCCTGTCTGTCAGATGGTTCTTTCCTACAGCCAGCTTCCAACGTGGTGTCAGGTTTCTAACCATCCTCTATCATCAGTCTCACTCTGTGGTACCTTAAAGACGCGCGGCACCACTGAGTAATGCCTCCCCGACCACATCTGTTTGATGACGTCAGCGTACGCCTCGGCGATCTCTCCCTTCATACCCAGAGGGTTAGTGAAGTTCAGCTCCTCCAGGTACGAGCTCTGCAGGAAGTACTCAGTCAGAGGAGGCGTGTTACTTAGACACTGCAGGAAGAGAGAGAGAGAGGGGGAGAGGGAGAGAGGGGGGAGAGAGAGAGAGAGGGAGAGAGGGAGAGAGAGAGAGAGAGGGAGAGAGAGAGAGAGAGAGAGGGGGGGCGGAGAGAGAGGGGGAGGGAGAGAGAGAGAGTGTGAATGTGTGCAGTCATATATACGACTCAAATTCATTCATTCATTCAATTCATTCGACTAATCAGAGCAGCTGTTTGAACGTTGATTGGGGCTTTAGTCAAAATCAATGTGATGGATTTGAAGGAATCTAAAATGAAAGTTAGGAATGTAACTACGGTTCTATGAATCCATAATGACTGCCAGAGAATGTATACCAACAATGTAACTTGTGACCCCTGGATGACCCGGGAGAGGTTATATCTTCCGGTGTCATCCGGGGTTCTGTTCCTACAGAATCTTCTTACGGGATCAGGAGGATTCTGAGTGACAGAGCACTATTGCGGTCATTCGGGATTCATAGAACCGTAGTTACATTCGTAACTTTTGTTCTATTTCATCCCTGCTGACCACCAGAGGCGGTGCTTAAAGCACTGAATGACTTATACCAGCAAAGTCTTGAGGAATCCTGCTTATCTACCTCATTGAGCAGAATTGGAGGACTCGGGCAGGAGGGTCACCCCGAGTGGATGGGGAGTGGCAACATTCACCCTGTAGAACCTGGAGAATGAGGCAGCAGCACATATGGCCTTCAGGGTACTCGCCTCAGGGCAGCCCACCATGTGGAAACACTCCTAGTAAAGTGGCAGTTCACGCCGGATGCTGTTCTGCCAACAGTAGCTGCAACATAGCCATCTCCCGGTAGGGGCTTAAACTGTGCAAGTCGTAAAGGCTAGTTGAGGTGCGAACATGCCAGCACTTTCGGACATAGAGTGACGCCTGAACTGTTCGGATTCCACCTCAGGCATGAGGCGCTTATTTACAGGGCGTGTAACTCACTGACGCTTAGCTGAAATAATGGCCAGTAGGAATGCGGTCTTACATGACACCCACTTCAGCTCTGCCCGTGCCAAGGGCTCAAAGGGAGGCTGGCATAGGGCGTCCAGCACCAGAGGTAGATCCCATGTTGGAGTTCTTGGAACTCTTGGGGGATGCAACCTCCGAGCCCCCCTAAGAAAGCGGGACAATAGATTGTGACTCCCTACTATGCCATTGTCGATTCTAGCATGTCGACATGATATTGCAGCCACATACACTCTCAGGGTAGAAGGAGACTGGCCATCTTCCAGGAGGGACTGCAAGAACTCCAAGACAGTAGGGACAGTGCAAAGCACTGGGTCTTCCCTCCGGCCAATACACCAATCAGAGAAAAGCTGTTCTCGTACTGCAGACGGGTGGATGGTGCTCTGGCGTTCATTATGGTCTGCCTGACAGGGTCCACGCAGCTGCTCAGCAGCGGTTCGGGCCCTCCAGCGGCCAAACCCACAATTTGAGGCGCTGAGGATTGGGATACCAGATCCCACCCCCCAGTTGAGACAGTAGGTCTGTCCTGTCGGGGAGGCACCACGGCGTGCCGCGACAGAGTGTGTGCAGCAGAGAGAACCATGTCCTTGCAGGCCAGAAGGGGGCCACCAGTAACATCCTGTGACCCTCTTGAGGCACTCTCTGAAGTGTTGGCCAAATCAGAGGAAGCGGCGGAAAGGCATACAAGGGTGAGCCAGTGCATCTTGGCCCAGAGGGCTGGTTGCCTCTGTTAGGGAGAACCAGAGGGGGGCAGTGGGTCAGCATCTCTGAGGCCAAGTGATCCACCTCTGCTCGGCCGAAGAGGCCCCAGATTGTGTGCACCACCTCTGGGTGGAGGCGCCACTCCCCCGGTGGAGGCTTGTGACAGGAGAGGAAATCCAGTAAATACATTGCCTGCAGGCTGGCCAGACAGGGGGCTGCCCATGTCAGGAGGTCCTGGGATACCTGCAGCAGCTGTGCAGACTTGGTGCCGCCTTGATGGTTGATATGGACGACGGTTGAGGTGTTGTCCGACCGCAGTGATGTACATTAATGTGTTCGGGTTAGGGTCCACCACTGTCCCTGAGCTGTCCTGTTCTGTCCTGTTCGGGCGGCTGTGGCTCAGTTGGTAGAGTCATTGCCTCTCAACCGGAAGGTCGAGAGTTCAATCCCCTGCTGGGCAACATGTCCGATGTGTCCTTAGGCAAGGTAACGGTGGTGTAAGAATGGGATTAGTTACTTCTGATGGATGATACTACATAGCGACCACTACCATCAGTGTGTGAAAGAGTGTGAATGGGTAGGTGTGACCTGCGGTGTAAAAGCACTTTGAGTAGTCGGAAGACTAGACAAGCACTATATAAGCTGATGTCCATTTACCATCCTGAAGGGCAGGCATCTGTGGTGACAGCCTTTCTTCGGGATGGGCCTGAGCCCATAGGGACGCCCCTGGACATGTAAGACCTGTCCCTCCACGGCACCAGGGCAAGGATGCACTGCTGTGACACTTGGAGCTTCCGGAGTCTGTGCTATTTGGCATCCAAGTGTAAGCTGTTCAGCTATCTCTGCAGAGGGCGCAGCAACAGCAAGCCCAACGGAACAACGGCAGAGACCGATGTTAGCTTGCCCATGAGACGCAAGAACGTGACATAGAGCAGTAACCTCGTAGTCTGGGAGGGGTTTAGACAACTTTTCTCCAGGTTTACCTTGAGGCCCAGCTGGGCAACATGGGAGAGAAGGCGAGCTGTGTCCTGGACCACCTGAGCCTGGGATGGGGCACAGATCAGCCAGTCGTCCAGATATGGCAGAATCTTCATGCCCTGAGACTGCAGAGGTGAAAGGGCTGCCGTCATGCACCTGGTGAACACTCTCGGAGAGAGGGAGAGCCCAAATGGAAGTACCCTGAACTGCAAGTGGCGGCCTTGATATGCAAGACGCAGAAACTGCCTGTGTTGCAGTGCAATGGGGACATGAAAGTAGGTGTCCTTCAAGTCTATGGACGTAAACCATTCCCCCTGGGTGACAGTTCACAAAACATCTGCAGTGGTAATCATATGGAATGGTAAGACTTTCATATACCTGTTGGACATCTGTGGTACGACAGAGGATCTACGGCCTCGATTGCGTCCGTGGCCGGGAGGGCGGATAACTCCTGGTCCAGCGCTAGGGCTTTTACCGGGTCGCTGATGATTGTGTTTTTGAACCGGCCGGAGGTAGGGTGCCAGCGTCGAAACTGTAGCTTGTATCCGTGGGTTAAGGTGGCAACCACCCAGGGGTCCGAAGCGTGTGCAGCCCAATATCTGAGCTGCTGGTGGGAAAAGTACCTGACAGCCGGCCCAGAGACCTCAGTCTCGGGCCCCCGCCCCCTAGAGGCCCTGGAGGCTCGGCGGATAGGATCCGTGGCTCGAGGTGGCCTGTAGGACGAGTGGGCAGTGCCACGAAAGTCCCTGGCAGGCTGTGCGGGATGCAGAGGCCCATGCCAGCCAGTGGAGTGAGTCCGTGGTGGTGGGTGGGCTCGAGGGGTAGTTGAGGGGCCGCTAGGCCTGCTGGGGGAGGCATGCTTCTGCTGAGACTAGAAAGCTGCTGCCGAGTCTGCCGAGCTTGAACGGTTCGCTCCAGCACCTCCAGCACAGCTGAACCAGGTGAGGGTCCTCCTACATGCCTCCGTCAGGGGTGACTGTGTGAGCCATACCTGGCTATGCCCCTTGGCGTTTGAACCAGGAAGGACATCATCCTTCCAAGTTCCCTTGACATTAGGGCAAAAGCCTGCAATGATGCATCACTGAGGCTGATGGAGGAAGCCTCGGCTCTGCCCTCCGGCAGGGAAGCAGAGAGGGCAAACATGAGGTGAGCCAGGGAGTTGCCAATACGGCCGGCACACGCTCCGGCATTATAAGCCCTGGTGGGAAGGTCATCCGTGACCCGACACTGGGGTCGAGGGAACCTGACAGCTGGCCGCAGTGCCTCCTCAGGAGACCCAATGAGGGGTGCGATGGTAGGCACTACAGCCGGCATACAATCAAGGCCAACTCTTGCATGGCCGCATCATGCATGGCAGCCAGGGCTCGAGCGTCAGCTGAGAGACGGGAGTGAGCCCCAGTATCTCTCCCACAGGCATGTAACTCCCTCAGGTATTCCTCTGAGGAGGGGAACAGCAAATGCGGTGGAGGCACGCCTGCGCCTGAAGAATGTGCTTCCTATTGAGGTATTTCCAGCTGCAGGTGATCGAGGACCATATGCATGGTGGCCTGCATGGAGCTGTCCCCACCCTCACTGAATGAGCTCTGAGTTGAGGAATGGGGTCCAGGGGTCACAAGTGGCATTGTTGGTATACAGACTCAAACTGTGCTTGCGCAAAGGGAATATTCAGTGCTTCAAGCACCGCCTCTGGCGGTCAGAAGGGATGAAATAGAACGCACATTTAGTGCAGGTGAGTTTGATCAGTGTGTGTAGAAACCTGACCAGAAACACCGACACACACCAGGAGTCTATCATGAAGACCTGATCCTGTTCCAGAGCCTCTGTATAGTCTATCATGAGGACCTGATCCTGTTCCAGAGCCTCTGTAGAGTCTAACAGCTGATCCTGGACTAGAGTCTAATGTGAAGAGCTGCCTTTGAGCTGGACCAAGTATCAAACATGTAACCAGTCATAAAGGAGGATGTAGTGGTGTCACACCTGCAGAGCAGAGTTCATGAAGCAGGTGTTGCCCAGGTTGGTAAGGCCACAGACTCCCGGCTGTCCTCGGTACGAGTCCTGCTCCTCCACAGAGTTCCTCCTGAAGAACCACAACAAGAACCACAACACAGATCATTATGATGGATATAGAACAGTTCATCCTGTTTAAGGTCGTCACAATACTCTTAACTTTAGATTCTGGTCCTGAATGCTCTGGATATGTTTGGACCAGAGAAGGTAGGCGCTTTTAAGGCGACCCCCCCCACACGGCCGTTTTGGACGCCCCTCGGTTTGCCAGATATGAGAGCAGTTATCAGGTCAAACCAACAGGTGTTGCAGCGATGGAAGCGGGTCAAGAGAAGTGGTTCAGATAGAAGTGATTGTACCCGACCTAAAAAGCCTCTGCATGTTTCTAATAAGCTCCACGAGCAGAAACGTGCTCAAACTAGGATCAATATTGGAGATGCTTTTGAAAAATGGAGAGAGGTTAGAACACAGAAAGGTTTACAGACCCATGCAGAGCTGGATAAACACTGAAGCTTCAGAGTCCACCACATGGTGACCTGAGTGAGCATCGAGTCTAGAGGGGAGGGGGGGGGGGGGGCAGTTCTCTATGATGTTTAGAATTTGGACTGCAGTATCAATTTTAACCACTAGGGGTCATAGTTACATACTGCTTATTTAAACTGTAAGAGTATAATGATTTCATAAAAAAGAGGCTGATCTCCAAACAACAGAGATAAATGATAGGAGGGACAAAACACATCTAACAGGAACAGTAACTCAGTAACCCTAACCCACTTACATGATCTGTGGTCTGGAGCTCGGCCAGGTGCCGTCAGCATTCCTCGTCTCCATGATCACCGTCTGACACACACACACACACACACACACACACACACACACACACACACACACACACACACACACACACACACACACACACACACACACACACACACACACACACACACACACACACACACACACACACACACACACACACACACACACACACACACACACACACACACACACACACACACACACACACACACACACACACACAGCTTATCTCTGAGGAGCTTTATGATTTGAAAGGTGAGCTGCTGCGAGGAAGTTAACGATCTGGGCTAAGTCACAGTAACCAATCACAGAGCTGATATGAGGGTCACATGACTCACCATCCCGGAGCTGAGACAGGCGTCCAGCACGCTCATGTGGATGTTCCTGAGACGCTCACAGCTGCTGTCTGAACTCTTCATCCACAGACGACACTCTGAACCCACAGTCACCGCGAATGCCTCACACATCGCCCGCTGGATCGACTCTACATACACACACACAATGTTTAAAGCAACACTCCCTGCAGGTGATCTGTAATGTCTTATTTCGTCCACACAGTATTGGAGTGTGTGTCTGTCTGTCTGTGTGCGACACTCACGGATGTTGTCTGCGCGGCTGAACTGTGCGGTGATGACATTCTCCATGTTGCTATGGAGACAGAGGAAGATCTCAACAGGGTAGACCTCGACCTTCAGGGTGCTGGGTAGGTCCACCACCTGACACACACACACACACACACACACACACACACACACACACACACACACACACACACACACACACACACACACACACACACACACACACACACACACACACACACACACACACACACACACACACACACACACACACACACACACACACACACACACACACACACACACACACACACACACACAGATCAGCTGATGCTCTGCTGGATTCTGTATTTGGTGAGTTTCTCTTCAGAGATGTCACCTTGCGTTCCAGCGGCGGCTGAGCGTCCACCACGCCGTACCAGACCAGCAGCTTGTGCCAGGCGTCAGCCGGCACCAACATGAAGTCCTCGTTCTCCACCAGACGCTCCTTCAGGTGGTACGAGTCCAGATCTGAAGGAAAGGGGACAGTAGTCTAAATCAACGACCTGGTGCAGCCACAACTCAAACAGCATCAGTGACACCGCCATCTTTAGTGAAACCAGAAGAAGAAAGAGTTGAAGATGGAGGAGAAGAAGAAAGAGTTAAAGATGGAGGAGAAGAAGAAAGAGTTAAAGATGGAGGAGAAGAAGAAAGAGTTAAAGATGGAGGAGAAGAAGAAAGAGTTAAAGATGGAGGAGAAGAAGAAAGAGTTAAAGATGGAGGAGAAGAAGAAAGAGTTAAAGATGGAGAAGAAGAAGAAAGAGTTAAAGATGGAGAAGAAGAAGAAAGAGTTAAAGATGGAGAGAAGAAGAAAGAGTTAAAGATGGAGAAAGAAGAAAGAGTTAAGATGGAGAGAAGAAGAAAGAGTTAAAGATGGAGGAGAAGAAGAAAGAGTTAAAGATGGAGGAGAAGAAGAAAGAGTTAAAGATGGAGGAGAAGAAGAAAGAGTTAAAGATGGAGAAGAAGAAGAAGAAAGAGTTAAAGATGGAGAAGAAGAAGAAAGAGTTCAAGATGGAGAAGAAGAAGAAAGAGTTAAAGATGGAGGAGAAGAAGAAAGAGTTAAAGATGGAGGAGAAGAAGAGAGTTAAAGATGGAGGAGAAGAAGAAAGAGTTAAAGATGGAGGAGAAGAAGAAAGAGTTAAAGATGGAGGAGAAGAAGAAAGAGTTAAAGATGGAGGAGAAGAAGAAAGAGTTAAAGATGGAGGAGAAGAAGAAAGAGTTAAAGATGGAGAAGAAGAAGAAAGAGTTAAAGATGGAGAAGAAGAAGAAAGAGTTAAAGATGGAGGAGAAGAAGAAAGAGTTAAAGATGGAGGAGAAGAAAGAGTTAAAGATGGAGAAGAAGAAGAAAGAGTTAAAGATGGAGAAGAAGAAGAAGAAAGAGTTAAAGATGGAGAAGAAGAAGAAAGAGTTAAAGATGGAGAAGAAGAAGAAAGAGTTAAAGATGGAGAAGAAGAAGAAAGAGTTAAAGATGGAGAAGAAGAAGAAAGAGTTAAAGATGGAGGAGAAGAAAGAGTTAAAGATGGAGAAGAAGAAGAAGAAAGAGTTAAAGATGGAGAAGAAGAAGAAAGAGTTAAAGATGGAGAAGAAGAAGAAAGAGTTAAAGATGGAGAAGAAGAAGAAAGAGTTAAAGATGGAGAAGAAGAAGAAAGAGTTAAAGATGGAGAAGAAGAAGAAAGAGTTAAAGATGGAGGAGAAGAAGAAAGAGTTAAAGATGGAGGAGAAGAAGAAAGAGTTAAAGATGGAGGAGAAGAAGAAAGAGTTAAAGATGGAGAAGAAGAAGAAGAAGAAAGAGTTAAAGATGGAGAAGAAGAAGAAAGAGTTCAAGATGGAGAAGAAGAAGAAAGAGTTAAAGATGGAGGAGAAGAAAGAGTTAAAGATGGAGAAGAAGAAGAAAGAGTTAAAGATGGAGGAGAAGAAGAAAGAGTTAAAGATGGAGGAGAAGAAGAAAGAGTTAAAGATGGAGGAGAAGAAGAAAGAGTTAAAGATGGAGAAGAAGAAGAAAGAGTTAAAGATGGAGGAGAAGAAGAAAGAGTTAAAGATGGAGGAGAAGAAAGAGTTAAAGATGGAGAAGAAGAAGAAGAAAGAGTTAAAGATGGAGAAGAAGAAGAAGAAAGAGTTAAAGATGGAGAAGAAGAAAGAGTTAAAGATGGAGAGAAGAAGAAAAAGAGTTAAAGATGGAGAAGAAGAAGAAAGAGTTAAAGAAGGAGAAGAAGAAAGAGTTAAAGATGGAGAAGAAGAAAGAGTTAAAGATGGAGAAGAAGAAGAAAGAGTTAAAGATGGAGAAGAAGAAGAAGAAAGAGTTAAAGATGGAGAAGAAGAGTTAAAGATGGAGAAAGAAGAAGAAAGAGTTAAAGATGGAGAAGAAGAAGAAAGAGTTAAAGATGGAAGAAGAAGAAAGAGTTAAAGATGGAGAAGAAGAAGAAAGAGTTAAAGATGGAGAAGAAGAAGAAAGAGTTAAAGATGGAGAAGAAGAAGAAAGAGTTAAAGATGGAGAAGAAGAAGAAAGAGTTAAAGATGGAGGAGAAGAAGAAAGAGTTAAAGATGGAGAAGAAGAAAGAGTTAAAGATGGAGAGAAGAAGAAAGAGTTAAAGATGGAGAGAAGAAGAAAGAGTTAAAGATGGAGAAGAAGAAAGAGTTAAAGATGGAGAAGAAGAAAGAGTTAAAGATGGAGGAGAAGAAGAAAGAGTTAAAGATGGAGGAAGAGAAGAAAGAGTTAAAGATGGAGAGAAGAAGAAAGAGTTAAAGATGGAGGAGAAGAAGAAAGAGTTAAAGATGGAGGAGAAGAAGAAAGAGTTAAAGATGGAGAGAAGAAGAAAGAGTTAAAGATGGAGGAGAAGAAAGAGTTAAAGATGGAGAGAAGAAGAAGAGTTAAAGATGGAGAGAAGAAGAAAGAGTTAAAGATGGAGGAGAAGAAGAAAGAGTTAAAGATGGAGGAGAAGAAGAAAGAGTTAAAGATGGAGAGAAGAAGAAAGAGTTAAAGATGGAGGAGAAGAAGAAAGAGTTAAAGATGGAGAGAAGAAGAAAGAGTTAAAGATGGAGAAAGAAGAAAGAGTTAAAGATGGAGGAGAAGAAGAAAGAGTTAAAGATGGAGAAGAAGAAGAAAGAGTTAAAGATGGAGAGAAGAAGAAAGAGTTAAAGATGGAGGAGAAGAAGAAAGAGTTAAAGATGGAGGAGAAGAAGAAAGAGTTAAAGATGGAGAAGAAGAAAGAGTTAAAGATGGAGGAGAAGAAGAAAGAGTTAAAGATGGAGAAGAAGAAGAAAGAGTTAAAGATGGAGGAGAAGAAAGAGTTAAAGATGGAGGAGAAGAAGAAAGAGTTAAAGATGGAGAAGAAGAAAGAGTTAAAGATGGAGGAGAAGAAGAAAGAGTTAAAGATGGAGAAGAAGAAGAAAGAGTTAAAGATGGAGGAGAAGAAGAAAGAGTTAAAGATGGAGGAGAAGAAGAAAGAGTTAAAGATGGAGGAGAAGAAGAAAGAGTTAAAGATGGAGAGAAGAAAAGAGTTAAAGATGGAGGAGAAGAAGAAAGAGTTAAAGATGGAGGAAAGAAGAAAGAGTTAAAGATGGAGAAGAAGAAAGAGTTAAAGATGGAGGAGAAGAAGAAAGAGTTAAAGATGGAGGAGAAGAAGAAAGAGTTAAAGATGGAGAAGAAGAAAGAGTTAAAGATGGAGGAAGAAGAAAGAGTTAAAGATGGAGAGAAGAAGAAAGAGTTAAAGATGGAGGAAGAAGAAAGAGTTAAAGATGGAGGAGAAGAAGAAAGAGTTAAAGATGGAGGAGAAGAAGAAAGAGTTAAAGATGGAGGAGAAGAAGAAAGAGTTAAAGATGGAGGAAGAAGAAAGAGTTAAAGATGGAGGAGAAGAAGAAAGAGTTAAAGATGGAGAAGAAGAAAGAGTTAAAGATGGAGAAGAAAGAAAGAGTTAAAGATGGAGAAGAAGAAAGAGTTAAAGATGGAGGAGAAGAAGAAAGAGTTAAAGATGGAGGAGAAGAAGAAAGAGTTAAAGATGGAGAAGAAGAAAGAGTTAAAGATGGAGAAGAAGAAGAGAGTTAAAGATGGAGAAGAAGAAAGAGTTAAAGATGGAGAAGAAGAAAGAGTTAAAGATGGAGAAGAAGAAGAAAGAGTTAAAGATGGAGAGAAGAAGAAAGAGTTAAAGATGGAGAGAAGAAGAAAGAGTTAAAGATGGAGGAGAAGAAGAAAGAGTTAAAGATGGAGGAGAAGAAGAAAGAGTTAAAGATGGAGAAGAAGAAAGAGTTAAAGATGGAGGAGAAGAAGAAAGAGTTAAAGATGGAGGAGAAGAAGAAAGAGTTAAAGATGGAGGAGAAGAAGAAAGAGTTAAAGATGGAGGAGAAGAAGAAAGAGATAAAGAGGGAGGAGAAGAAGAAAGAGTTAAAGATGAGGAGAAGAAAGAGTTAAAGATGGAGGAAGAAGAAAGAGTTAAAGATGGAGGAGAAGAAGAAAAGTTAAAGATGGAGGAGAAGAAGAAAGAGTTAAAGATGGAGGAGAAGAAGAAAGAGTTAAAGATGGAGGAGAAGAAAGAGTTAAAGATGGAGAAGAGAAGAAAGAGTTAAAGATGGAGGAGAGAAGAAGAAAGAGTTAAAGATGGAGGAAGAAGAAAGAGTTAAAGATGGAGGAGAAGAAGAAGAGTTAAAGATGGAGAGAAGAAAGAGTTAAAGATGGAGAAGAAGAAGAAAGAGTTAAAGATGGAGGAGAAGAAGAAAGAGTTAAAGATGGAGGAGAAGAAGAAAGAGTTAAAGATGGAGGAGAAGAAAGAGTTAAAGATGGAGAAGAAGAAAGAGTTAAAGATGGAGGAGAAGAAGAAGAGTTAAAGATGGAGGAGAAGAAGAAAGAGTTAAAGATGGAGGAGAAGAAAGAGTTAAAGATGGAGAGAAGAAGAAAGAGTTAAAGATGGAGGAGAAAAGAAAGAGTTAAAGATGGAGGAGAAGAAGAAAGAGTTAAAGATGGAGAGAAGAAGAAAGAGTTAAAGATGGAGAGAAGAAGAAAGAGTTAAAGATGGAGAAGAAGAAAGAGTTAAAGATGGAGGAGAAGAAGAAAGAGTTAAAGATGGAGGAGAAGAAGAAAGAGTTAAAGATGGAGGAGAAGAAGAAAGAGTTAAAGATGGAGGAGAAGAAAGAGTTAAAGATGGAGAAGAAGAAGAAAGAGTTAAAGATGGAGGAGAAGAAGAAAGAGTTAAAGATGGAGGAGAAGAAGAAAGAGTTAAAGATGGAGGAGAAGAAAGAGTTAAAGATGGAGAAGAAGAAAGAGTTAAAGATGGAGGAGAAGAAGAAAGAGTTAAAGATGGAGGAGAAGAAGAAAGAGTTAAAGATGGAGGAGAAGAAGAAAGAGTTAAAGATGGAGGAGAAGAAGAAAGAGTTAAAGATGGAGGAGAAGAAGAAAGAGTTAAAGATGGAGGAGAAGAAAGAGTTAAAGAAGGAGAAGAAGAAAGAGTTAAAGATGGAGGAGAAGAAGAAAGAGTTAAAGA